TACGCATTCTGCTGGGCGGGCCCCCTTTACCTGCACGATAACCCTGAGCGAGTTTGAATCAGAAAATTTGCATAGAACAGTAGCTCGGTAATCACCCGGTCTTCACTTTTTACGCAAATTGACCACGACAGAATTATGTTACTATGACGTATGACTTCGTATCTTTCGAGTCCGATATGAGCCCCAATTCCGCAATATGCATAGCATAGCATATTATATGCAATCGGAACTGTTGCCTGCTTCTGTCGCACAAGATTTAAAAGTAGTCCCATGTGCCTGTCCTAAGTCATCTATTGGCTGCTGTAGTAGATTGTGCTTTTATTCTTCTTCATTACGTGAATTCGCTCGTAAGAAGTTTTAACCCTCGCCGGCACAGGGGGGAGGGGTTGATGCAACCCCCTAAGGTTTTTTTCGCGAAGAACTCGCGTAAAAAAGCGGCTGATCGCGACGTAACTTCCATAGTGCGCTGAAATTCGCGCAACTTATAGAACAAGGATGGGTAACGTGCCTGTGAAGAGTCACAGCTCGATCGGGCCGGTGGTGAGCACATGGCGTGTGCTCAAAAAGTGCAAATTCGCGTCATAGACTTTACATGCATAAATCGGCTTGCAAAAATGGGCGACAATGGCTCAACTTGCCCGACACGGGTCCGGTCCCCGTGCAGTATCTCGGTAACCGTGGGTCCGATCGGCACGAGGAACACAGTATCGTGCATGAGAATCGAACGGGCTATCGAATGGTGTGCGGTGCAGGGATGGCACGCGCCACGTGCACCCGTGAGGGCACTTATGCTTGAAAAATTGACGTTTTGGACGGATTTTGGACTTAATGCTATTTTTGGGTGACTGTCAGACGGAGCGGGTTCAAACAACGCTTGTTGGCAAGAGAAATGTACCTACCGCCTCTCATGGGAAAATTGTGAAAAGCTAATTGATCAAAAACAAGGTGGAACAAATTGCTGGAGAAAATAGCATTTCCTTATGACTTACTTAATTACAGGGGTTTTGCTACATAACCTGGTATGTTTGACAATTGAAATGGGCATAGATTGGAAGAGCATTCAATTGTGACCAAGGTCCAATCATCGCTTTTGCATGACGAGCAACAATATTCTTAAGAATATAAATGTTTCAAACCTCTACATAGTAATTCATCGATGGCTTTCACTCTTCAATAACCTACGCCAACCTATGTCATGAAATACACTTGGCATGTTCTATAGTAGAACGCATGGTTATTATCAGACACGAGCACCTCGATGCGATGGATATTTTTTCCCAAAACCAAAATGCTTAGCCGTCAAAAGGCAATCGACCGTAATGGATACATAACCCACAGACACAAGACCAACCAAACGCCCACCGATCGAAAATACCCCTTATTCGCGTTGCGAAGCAAGCGGGTCACCCTAGCGGGCCCCATTCACCCGGGGGCTCAGGCCCTATCCACATGGGGGACCAAGCCCTATCCATACGGGGGCCCGGGCCACGTTCACCTGGGCTCCGGGCCTCGTCCACCCGGGGCTCCGGGGCCCGCCCACCAGGGGGCCCGGGCCCCATCCAGCCGGGGGCCCGGGCCCCGTCCACCCGGGGCCTGGGGTCCGTACTCCCGGGGGCCCGGACCCATCCATCGGGGGGCCCTGGCCCCATCTACTCGGGGGCCGTGCCCCATCCACCTAAGGGGCCCGGGTCCGTTCTCCCGGGGCCCGGGCCCCATCCACCCGGGGGCCTGTGCCCTATCCACCCAGGGGCCCGTGCCCTATCCACCCAGGGGGCCCGGGCCCGTTCTCCCGGGGCCCGGGCCCCATCCAACCGGGGGTCCGGCCCCGTCCACCCGGGGCTCAGGGCCGTTCTCCCGGGGGCCCGGGCCCCCTCCACCCAGGGGGCCCGGGCCCGTTCTCCCGGAGCCTCGGGCCCCATCCACCCGAGGGGCCTGGACCCGTTCTCGCGGGACCCGGGGGTCCGGGCCCCGTCCACCCGGGGCCCGTTCTCCCGGTGGCTCGGATCCATCCACCGGGGCCCCATCCGCCGGGGGGCCCGGGCCCTATCCACCCGGGGGCCCGGACCCATCTACAGGGGGCCCGGGTCCCATCCACCCAGGGGGCCGGGCCCGTTCTCCTGGGGGCCCGGGCCCTGTCCACCTGGGGCCCCAGGCCGACCCCTCACCCGAGGTGTCGCAACTTGGGCATTTCTCGAAGCGGGCTCGTCCGATTAGATTAGGACCTCTCTCTCTCCTCTCTCTCTCTCTCTCTCTCTCTCTCTCTCTCTCTCTCTCTCTCTCTCTCTCTCTCTCTCTCTCTCTCTCTCTCTCTCTCTCTCTCTCTCACTCTCTCTCTCTCGAGCGGGCCCCTGACAGAAATTTCGGGGGGGTCAGCTGACCCTCTGACCCCCCCCTGGCTGCGCCACTGGCGTCAGTTGCCTAGTAGATATATTACTATTAGAGGTCACTGACAATACCAGGTCAGGTCACAGGTCAGGTCACCAAGGGTCACAGGTCAGGTCACATGAGCCCAACTTTACTAAGGTTGTGTGATGCATGTTTTATGGCCAATTTTTCATTTCCAACTCAATGGTATTGGTTATAAAACTATCAGGTACGGCTTAGGTCACTTTCTGGTGAAGTTCAGGTCAAGGTCAGGTCAAGGTCAGGCCAAAAAAGGTCAAATTTTAAAGTTGATAGTTTTGCATAAAATGGGTATTGATTCGATGCAGCTCGTCACGGGGAGTCTAATGGTGGTCTTTGTTTTGCGCTACGGGGTCTAGAATTGCTAAAAATTGAGTTTGAAAATTTGACGTCATCAATTTTGAACAGTTTTTTCGCTATAACTTCGCCAAAAAAAGAGGTATCGATCTCAAATTTGGTATGTGGATGGAAGGCGGTAAGGACTATCACATATATTCCGGTTTTTGCGAAATTCAAAAAACTTTTTGGATTTTTCGATTATTATATGCAAAAAATTTATTTTTTGATTTTTGGGGGTCAAAATCCAAAAATTTCAAAAATCCGAGATAGCAGTTTTGTAGCCCTGTTGATTCTACAGCTTTTATGTCTTTATCATTTTTCTGTATTTGCAAAGCTATAGGCCTGACAGCTCTTCCCGCGAAACCCTTTTTTGGGTCGAAAACGGCAGAACATGACGTCACTCTGACGTCATTTCCGGCCAACCTATCATAGCCTTTGGAAAAAATTTTGGTCACAATGTGTAAAATTGATGTCCGGGAGGGTACTGAAAGTTTGGTGACGATCGGCGCAGCGGTTCTGGAGATATATCAAAAAGTCTGGAGGGGGGGCAAAAAATAGCCCCCCCCCCCCCACCAGGGCGCGGGTTAAACCGGTAAATGCACCTGCGACACCGGCATACGTAGAAGTGCATCGTCGGAGTATAAATGCGCTGTCGACTGTTTTGTGCGCCGTCCTTGGTTTCTTTTTTAGAGACGCCCCAGGACCTCAACAGGAGCTTTTACTCACTTGAGAATTTTGTGCTTAGTTTTTAAGCTTAGTCGCTTAACGTTTACTTTACAGTTACGTAATATCGGTTTTCAAATTGCTTTCAAATTTCTCAATTTAAATGATTGTAAAAGGTGTTTTTATAATCTATTGTGTCGAATCATGAAATGCTGTCTCTCGTTTTCGCTCCGTGGGCTAGCTCAGTCGGAGTCAGAGCCGCATAGAGGAAGTGTTCCATCCCCCCACCGCCACCGCCACCGGTCGACAGGTAGCCATAATCACTTCCCGGCGAGCTGGTGTTCTTTTCCAGCTGTGCTCATCGCTCACAGTCCTGACTTCTATACATGCCGCCGCCGCCCTTTTTGTTCCCCGACTACGTCGCTGGCTCCATTAGAGCATAATGGCGCCGGACGACCTTCGGTGTCACCTACCTCAGCGTGACGTGCGATCTTACTCGAACATTCTGACACAATGAGTTTCACAGGCTGTCGGCGAAGTATTTCTGTCCGCATTGTGAATCTCTCGGAAAAGGAAGCCGGGACGCGGAGTTTCTTTTTGACGATCATTTGGGATGGATTTAGTGCTAGTTCTTTGGAGATCATTTGAATATAACCGAAATAGTTGCTTATCACCGGTCACTTATGATAATCAGTAGAGTCACGCTGACGATTGATCATGTTTTAGCATAGGCTCATTCTTCGTGGCCTAAGCGGTACCTGCTGTTACTAAGCAGCACCGATAGCTTATTTCTTGTTGTCCGAAATAAAAATCACAAATATTCATGCATCGATAGTGCAGTTATTAACTGAGTAAAGTTATTGACAACGACTTGACGCTATCGTAGCCAGGACTTTGCTCAGGGTGGGGCCGCAGGTCGCGGCCTAGTGTCGTACCCCCTCCAAAAAGGAAAACTCCTCGGATTTGACCCACTTTTTTGGGGTGTGGTGCAGCTGTTATTTATTACATTTTTTATTAAATTTTATTTTATTTTTCGCCTTCAGGGGGGTGGGGAGCATGGCCCCGTGCCTCCCCCCTTGGCTACGTCCCTGCATAGGCGGCGGAACAGGGAGGGCACCGGGGCACCGTGCCCCCTTTGATTTTGGCATTTTAACATTAGCCCTATGGGCATTGCATGGAAAGAATGAGACCAAGAGTCGGCAGTGCCCCCCCCCTTAATTGAAGGTGTTCCGCCGCTACTGCGTCCCTGTACCTACCTCATTCTGCTGAGGACACCAGCGGCGTTTAACGTCATCGGTAGAATACATAGCTGGTCATTTACGACAGTGGAGTGCCGTCGCAGGCCTTTGGCACTTCAGATCAGATAAGATTCCGATCTTATTTACAGTCAACGATCCTATGCATCAAGGCCGCCGGCTGTGGGCAATGAAAGGTAACCGAATCTGCACAACGCGCTAGCAATGTGCCGTCTGTTGTTACTGTTGGCGCACGTGTTTAGTTACGCGTGGCCCACATGAGTGCGGCGGCGGATTGCAATTTGCAACCCCCGAACGCCTACATCCGGCGCAGCGGCAGCTGTGTCCGTACGGAAAAAGTCAGCCGGTGAAACCTGAAATGGAGAGTCGCATGTCGTGGAAGCAGTGCCGGTCCGCCCACCTTTCATTGAATTGGTCCCAGCAATGCCTAAATACCAATAACCTTGACGGACTCCCCATCATATAACGATCACCAATAAGTACTTATCAATTCTGCAGCGTCAGGCACTGCCGCTCTTTCACACGGGAGCCTAATGACGGTAGCACTCGCGGCGTACACCTCGGTTCGTTTCTTGTGACAGCATTCAAACCATAAAATACGCATTATCCATTGTTCCTCCCCGAGAGCGGCAGAATTGCCTTGTCTTTTGCCAGTGTGATCTGACAGCTAACCAGAGGCGGTGCGGATGCTACGCAGTCCCCACGTCAGCAGATTACAAAGTCAACCGGGAATGGGATGTGTCTCCTCTACTGTCGTTCCATCCAAGTTCCACCCACAGACGGAACCACGGTACGTGTTCGCGGTTACACCGGAGCCGCTCTGTGGGTTTCGGCTAAAGCGGTGCGGTTTCCGGTAGACTATGGCGCTAAACTCACGTGCTGCTGCGGCGGGTTAGCCGTGGAATGTGACGTCAGAGCAGTGGTGGGATCTATTCACCCGTCATGGCCATATTCCTCCAGCCGAGGGTTACCGTTTGTTACAGGAATTTGTGACCGTGTTACGTGCTGCCGAGTAGGCGCTGGTAATCAAAAGCTCCATGTATCAGGGGAACGCAAACCATTCGTAGATAGATCGCAGATAGTTAGGTACCTACTGTTATTCAAGGATATTCAATCTGCCAAGACCTCTGGAAATTAGAATGACAATGTTTTCTTATCCAAGAAATGTTCTTTATGAGGTGGCGCGGCCACCACGATCAATAGTGATTAGGTATCTGTATCAAATAAAAAAGAACCCATTTGCTGCGGTCATCGTTAAAAACACACAAAAGAGACAGCATTGCAAATAAAACCAATTGGCTGCATCAAAGAACCGGTCCACTTTTGTCTGGGCTAAAGATAACATACATTCTGCTAATGGAAAACAAGGCCGTAACTTTACAATGCTGCTCTATCGCAAAACCAATAAACCTTTTGTCTGGTGACAGCTTGTATCTCGGCTGACACGAAACCACGAGATCACGAGGAATCATTCGTGATGTGTCTGCTCGTTTCCGATTTATTGCATGTCAAAGATTTGTGACGAGTCTTCACAGCACGTAAACGTAAATCAAATAATTCGCTTCAAAGTCGGGAATGGTTTTCTTTCATCCAGTCAATCAACAAAAATGGGTGACGCCATCGACTGTGTTTGCGGCTACTGGAATGCCGCTCGTTCTGTTTGGTCATGCCACAGCTCGGGTTATACCTAGCTGTCAAGGCGGCATGCAGAGGACAGAGTATGGTAAGGCTGCATTTAGATCAGCATAGTGCATAAGTGCATCTGCATGCCATAAGCTTGCATCAGTGGCACCGAGATTCTATTTTTCACTCTCTTCCTAATTAAATTAGATCGATCTGCCGTGCGTCGTCATGACCAGCATCCCAATTTTTAAGCATTCTATTCAGATTTACAAACCAACCTAAAGCAAAAACCAGTTATTTATGCGGCCCACAAATCACTCACGTCACCTTCCCAGGCGCTATAGGTATAGGGTCGCCTTCATTTTGCCGACTTCTGTTCCCCATTTGTCGAGCCGTCGGCCGGTGTCCTTTTAGGGTCGATCTGCTTCCCCGTCGCGCGGCCGACATGCACCTCCTGTCGACCTGGGCCGCTGGTGGGGCGACACGATCGTCTGGGCAGCGGCCTCGCTATGGTTGGCTTTCTGTGCCCCTATCTGACAGCCGCTCTCGGCTGAGCGGGCCCCATCCAGCGGCCGTCCCAATAAGGCACCCCGGCGTCTCGGCTCAGGGGTCCGAGAGGCGACCGGCCCGGTCCGGACGGCTTGTCGGATCGTTGGGACGATCATCCGCCGCCGCTGGCGTTAGCAGGAACTCGCTGCCGCCACTATCACCATTCACCAGCACGGGCTCCGTCTGCCGCATGCACTCCAAAACGGTTTCCGAGTGTATATACGCAACGCTCAGCCGTGTGGTGTCTGGACGCTGCCTGGAAAGTGCCCATCATCAGTGCAAACTTGTCTCGTTGACGTTGCACGCAACTTTCCACGTGCGGTATCTCAACTAGCCAGTAGAATTGCCTTTCGACATGGACACGTTTACCGAAGCTCTCACTTTGCCGTCTAAGCACTGGCGATTCTCGTAAGGCTCATGCTGCAGCGGTCGCCCTATCTGGCCAGATAACTGTCAGTAATTGCAGCAGGATTGCTGGCGCGTGCGGCTCCATGGCGACCGCTCGCCACGCGCCGGTCTGGCGTGGCTGGCATGCGGCCTGCGCCACCAGGGCACCATCCGAGACACGAGGCGGCGGATTCCCGGCGTCCTTTGGGCATGAGGTCACGGACTTCAGAGCCGGCCGGTCGTGTAACCCGAGCGGTTCTGTTCTCTAGTTTGGGCGAGCAGAACACCCTCCGACGGTTGGTTTCGGACGAACGCGGTCTGTGTGTTGTGCAAGGCTTGACAGATGTGGAGCAGGGTGGGGATAAATCTCTGCGGTGGACACGGTGAAACATGGTGTCCGTGAGACACGTCATAAGTGATTTATGCGTCCATCCGCTGCTTATTGTATTGAATTTATTCTATTGGGTCGCCCCATAGTCAGCGTTATTTATCATGTGATCTCAAAGCCTGGGGATGTTGGCTGAAATCTGAATTGAGGTACCGTACTGGCTTGGCCGGGACGTGTGAGCATATGCATGACGTTGAGGGCTGCCCACCCTGGCGAGTCGCATTACTATGCATTCATTCCGAGATATTTGAGAGGCGACATGGGCCGAAACCTGTTTCGACATTTACATTTAGCGTCTGCTCAGACCTTGTCATTTCCGCTCCTGCCGTATGGAATAACCGTCTGTCTGTCCGTCTGTCTGTCTGTCTGTCTGACCCTGTCTGGTTGGCTGTCTGTCTGACTAGCTGGCTGTCGACTGTCTGCCTATTTCACTTAGGTAGGGGAGAGTGGGGTAAGATGCCCAGGGTGGGAAAGACGCCCCACCCCCTCTAGCGGCGAAACAAAGAATCGAACCTGGAAATTAATGTTCTTAGCGTAAAGCGGAAGCCTGCCTTGTTAACTGCACAAAAATTTGCGAAGCTCAGTTGGGCAACGGCTGGCTGGTGATTGCATGTTTTTTATTTGCTGCTTTCAAAAAATATTTTGGTGTCAAAACATTGTAAATATCAAAGAAGGTAGATAATTTTTGAGTCCCTTGCTATAGTCGTGATACATTAACATGCGTGTACTGTGTCCCGAACAGCTTGTTTCAGGGTGTAGTTTTATGGCTAACAGATTGTACTGATTTAATGTTGCTTCGGTACCTTGGGGTAAGATGCCCCCTGTCCTGATGGGGAAAGACGCCCCCCTAAATCCGTAGGCTGTCCTTCAAGCAGCCCGTCAAATCATTTATTACATACTTGTGATGAGAGACAAAAGCCGATCTGGGACTATTGAGAGTCCAGTACGGTCGGGTGCTCCCCATGCCGGTCTCTCGGCACACACAGCGACTTTTTGGGCGGCATCTGACTCTGAGAGCCCTCACGACGGCCTCTGTTGGCCCCATTATTGGCTCCAGGGCCCCTCACGACATCCTTTGAGGGTGCTTTGAGGGCTCCCACGTTGGCTCCACGGGCTGCGCTGACATCTGAGGTCCCCACGATGGGCTCGAGGGCCCTCAAGCATCATGAAGACCTATAAGGGCCCCACAGTGGTCTCCGAACGCCACCACGGAGGCTTGTTTGGCCGCGCTGGACTATGATGGCCCTAACGATGACCTCTGAAGCCCCTTACGACTACTTTTGAGGGCCCTTACGATGACGTTTGGTGTCTACTGCAGTCTCGAAGGGACTACTGATTCGTTCAGGCGATTCACGTGCCCATTTATGCCACTTATAGTGCAGGGGGCATCTTCCCCAACGCCAGGGGGCGTCTTTCCCACCCTGTGGGGTAAGATGCCCCCTTTCACTTCTTCAGAAAAATGCTTAATAGCAAAAAAAGTTATCATATTTCAGGCACGGAAGTGTGATATTTTTGGAGAAAAATGATGTCGGCTTCCGTTGAAACTCCAAGTTTTTGCTTTCCGATCGTCATTTTCGAATAATACATGATATAGTAAAACCCTGGGCATCTTTCCCCACTCTCCCCTACTGATTGATGACTGAGTATCGATGAACCGTTACTTCCCGATCATTTCGTTCGGTTTTGGTTTTCTTTCCGTCCCTTTACGACCCTATGTTAGACCAACCACCCACTTCAATCTTTCCCAGCTTTTCTCAATACGCAAAAGGCTTGTGTCAACGCTTCGAACACTTGAAACTGATGGCCCTTTCACGACATAGGTCATCGAGGGGAAGACGGCACTCGGCCGGAGTTCCTGCAATCCCACCGTCGAGTACCTACCCGAACACCCTGCGTTGCTGAGTGCCGAGCCGACCCCCTTCCCATCCCCCCCCCCCGAGACGCGTGCCGAGCGGTCCCGCTGTGATACTTGGCACGCATGCATTCCTCGCATTGCCCGCCACCTGTTCCGGCTAACCCGACCGCAAAGGCGACGGTAGACCGCGTCTGGTGGTTGGTCAGGGGGGGGGAGTCGAGGGTCGAGGGGGGTTGCAGGGATCGAGCATGGCATGACACGGGGCAACAGCTGTCCCAGACGAACAGCTATGTCTCCGTGACGTATGGTGGCGGCGGCTGTGGCAGCGGTGGGACTGGTGTGTCAGCCACCACCCCGCCCCGCCCCTCCCCGTCTAGCCGCCCCGCCCCGCCCGGGCTCAGTGTCACTATCCTCACAACTCACGTCTGTCATGAGCCTGCGGTGGCAGCCACCAGTGACACGTGAGGGGAGAGCTATACCCGGCTCTGCAGCGAGGATGGCGGGGCATGCGGCTGCTTGGATGCCGGGGTGTTGGACGTCACAAATGTGCA